CTTGTCCGCGACCAAGACCGATGGAGTTGTCTTCACCTTTGGAATAGCCTTTAGAGACATATACAGAATATTGCTTCTGAAAAGGAATACTCTGAATGCACCCTAAATATCTCATGTGCTGAGAAGCAATGACCATATTTTTTTTTAGTTTTTCCCGCGCAGGAATGAAAGTTGAAGGAGGTCTGGAATGAGTGCTTTTTGAGACCAATCAGGTTTCGCCTTATTTTATTTTACTGGAAAAGCATTGTTTTCTAAGAGATTCCGATTTTGTCCTGCAGGAAAGCCCGAAAATCCTGTTTTGTCCGGTTGTCAGCTGCATACCAACATCATTTAGCGACGTTCACCTCAGATTATGCCTGAATTCCCAGTTACCAACATAGTTGTCCAAGAGTTTCAGGTTTATGAACTTCTCCAAGGCATGCAGCAAACATTAATTTAAAAACGGCCTGGCAAATGCAGGTTGATCATGAAGTTCCAATTCATTTTGATGTACCACGCTAACACTCGTTTATAAGGTTCAATCGATGCAGCAATTTATTAAAAGTGGAGAAATGTAAGGGGAAAATACCACCATGCTCACCCTTCAAGAGAGGAGAAGTAGTCAGATTTCGGAATGATGTACGATGAGGCGCGAAGTGCCCTTCAACTGAAGTTCCATGAACCTGCCCCAGCAGATGCCAACATCCGTCTACTTCTCAACGAGTTCCAACAATTTCCGAGATTCTGCGGTTTAGGATGCAGGATCCATCCTAAAAGCATCCCGTTGATGCAGGAATTTGCCTTTCTGACGATGCTCGTCGCATGGACTTCGTCTGGCTCCTTTCTGGCTTCACTGGCCCTGTTGATTATTTCCTGGGTTGCACTCGGATCTTCGGAGCATTTTGAATCTGCAACGGTCCCGGTCCTTTGGAACTCGTTGGCAAGCAGTTGCCATCGGATGTCGGGTTTATGGAACTTCCGTTGAAAGACATTTCGCCCCTCATCGTTCTTCATTTCACACAGACGAAGTTTCAATACTTTTATCCTCTCTTGAAAGGTCAGAGAGAAAATTATTAGAGAGAGAAAATAGGAATGCCATTTTTTTTAACTCTTCCCAGCTCACCTGAGATGTCTCCAGGAAAAAAAAAATTGGCTCTTGTGATAATGAAAAAGCATTCGCCGTTGTTGAAACACAGTTGGGTTGAAATACTTATTTTTCGAAAGTTCGCTATTAATCGTCACGTCAGGTCAATCTGCAAGTGAAGCAAGTTGGGAGGAAATAACTCCGGGAATCGGCACCCATTCGAGGTTTTAATGGAAGTGCCTCTTAAGTACATAGTTCCTGTGGAATTTGATCGGTTTTAACTTTTTAAAATGTCAAAGAGTTACTGTTTAGTACCAAGTCGTAATGTACGTAATTTAGAATGGGCACTTACGTAAACATTGCAGACGAGTTTTAAAAAATCCTTTGGAATTTGTCAAGCTGTGGCTTAAAAAGTAATACTTAATAATTACCTGATGCTGAAGATTCCTCATTTGTTCCTCCGTTTTTGCATTTTCTCCATTCTTGTGGTTGGGTGTCACAAGATTTTCCCCGGGCGCATGAGCGCCACGAGGCTTCAGTTCGGTTCGATTTTTATTCGGTTCCTCGAAGGGAACGCTTCCTCGTTCGTCGGCCGTCTTTTCGTTTGCGATGCGTTCCCCGATTTCCTGGAGAATTTTGGCTCGCTCCATCCAGCCGGGCTTCCCCTCGTGCTTCTCGGACGAAATCAGCAGTTTCACGTAGTCGGTGATCGTGATGGGGTTGGGCTTCAAGGCGATTTCCTCCAGTCTCTCGAGCTTCTCGTGTGCCCTTGCGAGGAGGTGAAGGACCCTGGACCGACTCTCCGAGTGTCTCTTCCTCAAGGCCCCCAACAAGTCCTCGGCCGTTCCTGCGTCTCGGTGCGATGCTCGCAAGTCCTTCAGGTTCCTGCTTTCCTTCTCGACGTAGGTCTCCAAGCGATACGGCCTGCTGACGTGCCGCTTCGAGTCGCAAGGGCACACCATGCAACGACCCGTGAACGGGTCCAGGACCTCGCACTGCAATTCCACGTCGCCGCGTCGCTGCTTGCACGGGAAATGGCACGTGATGTTGCACTTCGAGCAATTGGTCGCCAGGTCGCCCTTCAGGTCCATCTTCCTCACCTTCGGCGCTTGCACCTCGTAAGTGAAGTCTTTCTTCGCTTCCACTTCTGCTCGTCTTCTCTCCAGAACGGCCTTTTCCTCGCTGATCTCAGCCAGTATGTTCAGGACTACACACAGACAAAAAATATGTCGACCCGAGTGAAATTTTCAAGGCTGCATGTACCAAAGAACGTGGTACGTTCTCTGCAGCTTCTCAGACTCGAGAAAATATCATCCAGATCAACTCGGTTTGCGTTGCATGAATTGCGGAGGTAAACATTCAAAGGTACCCATAAACGTCTACCGAGGTAGAACAATATATCAAGTCGAATCTTTCCTTGAAGGTGAGCTCCACTCCGCAATGATTAACAGGCATCATAATACTGGGTAAAATAGTGAAAAGGTTCGAGAATATTGCATGAACATTATTCATAAATAGCAAGGTTTTTAGGGGCATCGGACTGGAAAAGAACAATTCGCAAATGATGACTGCGTTAAACGAGGCTGAACGTGATATTGAAATAATTTTGAAATAATTTTGAAATATTCTTTAAATTTGATTAATTATTAAACATTTTTGAAATAATGCTATAATGATGACTGGAATGCACTCACCGCCTTGAATTTGATCCTGGATGCCGCGAATGATCGCCTCGAGCGCCGCTCTCTCCTTCAAGACCTCCGCACTCAGACTGAGACTCACCGCCGTGGATTCGCGGAACCTCTCGAAGAATCGGGAGAAGGCGGCCGCGCCCAGCCTCCAGAACATGGAGTCGATGCGGCTGTCCGAGGATTCGTCGTTGCGGGCGTACAGGGCGGAGTTGTTGAAGGGGAAGGAGTCCACGTGAGGGATCTTCCCGTCCTTGATGGCCTCGAGGACGGGCTGCGAGCGATTGTCGGCGAACGTGACCATCACGTAAATGTTCCCGGCGACGTCCTTCCCGAACGCCGAAAGAACGGAGTCGAAGATGTATTTCTCCGTCGGGGTCAGCCTCGCACTCGACGCCTGCACCACGAACCCGATCCCGTCGACCCGCTTCAGCCCTCCCCCGCCGAAGAATTTTTGCAACTGGGTCGTGATGCCCTTGTCCCCCGTCAATCCCTTCGTGTCCCCGAACCCGGGGGTGTCCACGATCGTGAGACCGTACGGCGCGCGACATCCCTCTTGCCACGGCAACTCGTACGCCGTGACCCAAGTCGTCTGGGACTGCGACGCCCTCACGCCTTCCGTTTCCGGGATCAAAACCAAACGGAACGGGTCTTCGTATTCCACGCCGTAGAAGTGATTCACGACGGCGTTCACCAGAGTGCTCTTCCCTGCAAATCGAGAAGGAAGTCATCCGAATGACAAGTTCTTGCAAATTTTTGCCAATTTTGCCACATTTTGGGGGTCGCACCTGTTCCAGTCGCACCGAGAAGGAGGATCACTTTTTCGTCTTTCTCACTTTCGATGGAGTCGAACGGTAGGACCAATCTCGCAGTTCGACTGCCTTCGTCTCGGCTGATTTCCTCGCAACGAATTTCGTANCGGATGTCGGGTTTATGGAACTTCCGTTGAAAGACATTTCGCCCCTCATCGTTCTTCATTTCACACAGACGAAGTTTCAATACTTTTATCCTCTCTTGAAAGGTCAGAGAGAAAATTATTAGAGAGAAAGAGAGAGAGAAAAAACTATCAGAGAGAGAAAATAGGAATGCCATTTTTTTTAACTCTTCCCAGCTCACCTGAGATGTCTCCAGGAAAAAAAAAAATTGGCTCTTGTGATATTGGATGGAGATAATGAAAAAGCATTCGCCGTTGTTGAAACACAGTTGGGTTGAAATACTTATTTTTCGAAAGTTCGCTATTAATCGTCACGTCAGGTCAATCTGCAAGTGAAGCAAGTTGGGAGGAAATAACTCC